TTGCGATCGCCATCTCTACGGGACGGCTTAGGTCCATCGGGACCGTCCGGGGGAGGAGATATCGGCTGCCATCCTGGGAGCCCAGGATCGCCCGCCGTATCGCCGCGACGCCAGCTCCGCCCTCCAGCACATTCCTTTCAATGTGTATTCCCCGTTGTGTGCCTGCTTACTCTCTTCTAATCCTTTCCTCTCCAGTGAATGTAAATACGAACATTAATTCTCTTCTTGCTAATTATCCCAGCACTGGGGTGAGCAATCCCAAGGGCGGGGCAGTGGGGAAAAAAGAAAACTGAAGTAAAATCCTATGCACGGTCGTGGTCATGTGATTTTCCACTTAGTGACTGCTTTGCTTAACAACCAAGGTGCCGGTTCCAATTGTGGTAGCTAAACAAGGACTACCTGTATTAGGAAAGATGGTTGCAAAATTCCTGCCAGGTCACCATTTCAAGATTTTTAAATACAACAGAGGAATGGTGGCTTAACAGCCAGGACGTTTCCCCTCATAATGACCACTGGGTTTGTTTGTTTTTTTACAAACAAGTCACTACATGTTCCTGCCATTTCTTAGCATTTTGAGGTCAACAGACTTGAAGATGGTCCCAAGTCTACTTCAGATTGCTTTTTGAGGGTTTGGGGAACTGGAAACAGTGTGATGCCAAGGTACCGTAAGAAACGAAAGGTTGGAAGAGCTGCGTGCTCTCAGAGTTTTTTCATCTGGAAGCCCCGCTAGTAATTGTTGATGACAGTTTTGTTTCGTCCACAAGGCGTCTAAGTTTATTTCCTCCGGTTCTTCCAATAGGCTACACCGGCCAGTACTGCGAGGTGAATCCAGATGACTGTGCAGGACACCAGTGCCTCAACGGTGGCACCTGCCAGGATGGCATTGGGTCATATGCTTGCCACTGCCTCCAAGGCTGGACAGGTCAGATGCAACATTCACTAAGCCTTTCCTTTCGCCTTTCATTACAACAAGCCGATCTTGCTGCCAGCCCTTCCTCAGCTGGATCGATTGGTCTACCACAGCTGGGGAATTATCCCACATTTTTGGAGCACTCCAGGTTGGAGAAGGCCCATCTCCAGAGAACCTCCAAGTCCCACATCTCATAATCTACCAGTTCACCCCAGGATATGCCCTCTTTTTTTGAAACCTGTCCATAGTTCATAACTTTCCTCATTTTGGCCTCTGGGCCTACGGTAAGCTGTTTTAGTTTCAACATGCTGAATGCAACATTCTTCAGGTTAATTTAGGCTTATGCCCAAAGTCCGTGTCAATCAGAATGAATTTTGTTCCCGAGAAGAGCCAGCTGGCATAGGCTGATCTGGCATTTAGCAAAGCCTGACAGTAAATTTTCAAATAACCTGGAGTAAAAATCTTGCTTCAACAAATATCCCCAAAGGACTGGAAGCCAGAAGAA